GAGAGGAGAAGCCCACGCTGGAGCAGGTTGGTTGGCAGGACTTCTGTGACCCAGCAGAGGACCTGCGCTAGAGCCATTTCTCGCTGAAGCACTGCACCTCATGGAGAGAGACTCATGTTGGGGCAGTTTGTCAAGAATTGTCTCTTGTGAGAGGACTCACATAGGACAAAGTGTGTGAAGATCGTGTCCTATGAGAGGGACCCCACAATGGCCCAGGGGAGAGTTAGGAGTCTTCCCCCGGAGGAAGAAGAAACAGTGGAGACAACATCTGATGAACTGACCACTACCCCATTCCCTGTTGCCCTGTGCCGTTCAGAGGGAAGAGGTGTATAAATTGGGATTGATATTAAGCCTAGGAAGAAGGGAGGGCTGGGGGGAAGGTGTTATTTTAAGATCTGGTTATATCTCTCACTACTCACCTCTGATTTTGACAGTTAATAAATTTAACTAATTTCACCAAAAGTGAGTCTGTTTTGCCCAGGACGGTAGCTGTGGGTGATTAGTCTGTCCATACCTCAAACCTATCATACCAATGGTACCCTATTCAACCTAAGGGCACGTCTCCAGGATGGAGGATCACTGCCTCCCTAAGGTTGTGTTCTATGGTGAACTCACCATCAGCTGCCGCAACAGAGAAGCCTCAAAGAAGGACTCTCTGAAACAATACCTCAGTTTTGGCCATATTGACTACCATCAGTGGTCCACTCTGGCCTTCAATTGGGAGATGTGGAGACACACCATCCACAATGCTGCTGCCTCCTTTGAGAACGCACATAGAATTAGTCTTGAGGAGAAAAGACAATGGAGAAGGAACCGTGCCTCGCCAGTACCGCCTAAGGAGACTTTCCGCTTTGCAACCAGACGTGCCTATCCCACATCAGCCTTTTTAGCCATCAGCGTGCTTGTAGCAAGTGTGAGTAGAGCCCCTTGGTTTACAAAGTCTAGCCATGATGATGATGATGACCTCAAACCATGGGCCCTTAGTTATATTTGCTTCCGCTGCCTGGCTGAGAAGGGGGAATGACAGAGTGGCTGTGGTGGACATCTACCCACCAGCCAGGGTCAAACTACTACAGTAACTTCTATCAGTCTGGAGACCCTAGCTCCATTTAGATCATAGAATCATAGAATGGCCTAGG